CCCTTGCGCAGCAAGGGTGACGTCACTGAGGTGTTGATCGACTGGATCCGCGCAGCTCGTCTCCAGCTCAGAGAGAGTTTCGGCTCGGACTTTCCTGTTCTGCGTCTGCACTCGGACAGAGGCGGGGAGTTTTCCTCTGCCCGTCTGGGAGCCTTCTGTCGTGCACAGGGCATCCGCCAGACCTTCACGCTTCCGGCCTCTCCATAGAATAATGGGATTGCTGAGCGCCGCATTGGCATGGTCATGGATGTCGCTCGTACGTCCATGATGCATGCGGCTGCCCCCCATTTTCTGTGGCCGTTTGCGGTTCAGTACGCCGCGCATCAGCTCAACCTTCAGCCTCGGGTCTCCTTGCCAGAGACCTCCCCCGCCTTGCGGTGGACCAGGAAGGTTGGCGATGTGTCTGCGTTCCGGGTCTAGGGATCTCAGGCGTTTGTCCGCGGCTTGTCTGCGGACAAGCTGTCCCCCCGTGCTGTTCCCTATGTCTTCCTTGGCTTCCCCCCTGACGCGCCTGGGTGGCACTTTTACCACCCCACCTCTCGCCGTGTTCTGTCCTCCCAAGACGTCACCTTTGACGAGTTGGTACCTTACTACCGTCTCTTCCCCTAGCGCACTGCGCCTCTCCCCCCGCCGCCGCTTTTCCTTGCACCAGGTCCTCCCCCGGTAGACCCCCTCCCCCCCCAGGGTCCTGCCCCGTTAGGTGTGTCCGAGGTAGACGCAGTCGAGCCTATCGACGTAGCTGTTGACTCTGCTGCTGCTAGAGGTGCTGAGCCTGCGGGTGTCGGGTCTGGGGGTGCTAAGACTGGGGGTGGTGAGACTGGGGGTGCTGAGTCTGGGGGTGCTGAGACTGGGGGTGTTGGGTCTGGGGGTGCGGAGCCTGGAGGTGCGGAGCCTGGGGGTGCGGAGCCTGGGGCCGCTGGGTCTGCTCGTGTGGCCGCCAGCGGTGCTTCGTCCAGGCGGGAGCCGCTCTCTCCACAGGAGCTGCGTGAGTGGTTTGCCCGCCGCTACAGACGTGCTACTGAGACTGGTGGTGCTGCTGGGGCTATTGGAGTTGGTCCTGCTGGAGCTGCTGGCGGTACTTGTTCTACTAGAGCTGGAGCTGCTAGGGGTGTTGGCGCTGGTGTTTCTACTGACGCTAGTGCGTCTAGGGGTGCTGCTGAGGCTGCTGGAGCTGACGGTCCTACTGGAGCTGGTGCTGCTAGAGCTGACGGTCCGACTGGAGCTGGTGCTGCTGGAGCTGAAGCTGCTGGGGGTGTTGGCGCTGGTGGTGCTGCTGGCGATAGTGCTTCTGAGGGTGCTGGAGTTGGCGCTGGTGGAGCTGGAGGTGCTGCTGGCGCTGGTGCTGCCGCTGAGGGTACTGGTGCCGTCCTTGCTGGTCCTGGAGGCGCTGAGCGGCCGAGGCCGTACTTCGTTCCACTCCTGGAGCAGGTTCTTGGTCTCCCGCCCTCTCCTTGTCCTGCTCCTTCCTTAGAGTGTCCACAGCCTCTCCAGACGCAGTCACAGTTACAGCCCGCCTCCCCTCTAACTGCTCCTTCTCCCTACACTGGTCCTATTGGAGGTCTTGCTGAGCGTCGTGAGCCTGCGTCTCGTCCTGCGTCGCCTATTCGTGCTGCTCGCACTAGTGGTTGTACTGCGCGTCCGCGTCCTCCTGCGGTCCCCGGCACACACCAGATGGCGCTGCGTCCTTCCATTGCTCCTCTGCGTGTCCCGTTGCCGTCTCCTCCAGAGTCCTCTCTTCCCTCTCTTGCTGACCCGGAGACTGACTCCCTTCGTGCTGCTAGTCCTTCGGTCACGCGCCTTCTTGCTACTGTTGTCACTAACCCTTCCTTTGGGTCCATTGCTGCGTCTGCCTTGGTTGCTGAGCTTGTCGGCTTCGCTCCTCGCTGTCGTCTAGACTACGCTGCTAGTGTCGTTGCTGAGTCTGAGTCCGTCTGTCCTCCGTCCGTTGGGGGTGAGTGTGCTCTTAGCACGGACGTCCTTGAGGACAGGCAGGAGGAATTCCAGTGCTTTGCTGCTGCTTTGCCCCATCTCGTGTCCACGCTGATTGCCCCTGAGGGAGACCCGGTTGCACCAGACATCCCGACTCCTCGATCGTACACTGAAGCGATCGAGGGTCCCTACTCCTCTCAGTGGCAGTCGGCCATGGACGCAGAGATGGCTTCCTTGAAGTCCACAGCCACCTACGTCGACAAGGTTCCCCCACCTAGGGCGAACATCGTCAGCGGTATGTGGATTTTCAGGGTGAAGCTGCCGCCGGGTTCTCCGCCTGTCTTCAAGGCGCGTTACGTGGCTCGTGGCTTCAGTGAGCGGCAGGGAGTTGACTACTTTCAGACCTTCTCTCCCACCCCGAAGATGACCACTCTTCGGGTGCTGCTGCACATAGCCGCTCAGCGCGACTACGAGCTTCACTCTCTTGACTTCAGCACAGCTTTCCTGCAGGGCAGCCTGCACGAGGAGATCTGGCTGCGCCGCCCTCCTGGCTTCACTGGGTCGTTTCCTCCTGGTACTTAGTGGAGCCTCCGGCGGCCAGTCTACGGTCTCCGCCAGGCGCCCCGTAAGTGGCACGACACACTGAGGACTACACTTGCGGCTCTTTGGTTTGCTCCTTCTACAGCCGACCCGTCGCTGTTTCTGCGCACCGACACCTCTCTGCCGCCGTTCTACATCCTCGTGTACGTTGACGACTTGGTCTTTGCCACAGCTGACACTGCTGGACTCGCCCACGTGAAGTCCGAGCTGCAGAAGAGACACACATGCACAGACCAGGGTGAATTGCGCAGCTACCTTGGCTTGCAGATCACCCGGGACAGAGCACAGCGCACCATTACCCTGACTCAGTCACACATGGTGCAGCAGGTCCTTCAGCGCTTCGGCTTCACGTACTCCTCGCCTCAGGCCACTCCTCTGTCTACTCGCCACTCGCTCTCAGCTCTGCCTTCGGATGAGTCCGTAGAGCCGAGTGGTCCGTACCCAGAGCTTGTTGGCTGCCTCATGTACCTGATGACCTGCACACGACTTGACCTTGCATACCCTCTTAGCATCTTGGCACGCTATGTTGCTCCTGGGAGACACCGACCAGAGCACATGGCTACAGCAAAGAGGGTGTTGCGCTACGTGTGCAGTACGTCGGGCATGGGGCTAGTGCTTGGAGGGCGACGTCGAATGGTCCTCACCGGTCACACTGACGCTTCTTGGGCTGACGACCAGGCTCTGCAGCGGTCGTCACAGGGTTACACCTTCAGCCTTGGCTCCGGCTCTGTTTCGTGGCGGTCTACCCGCTCGTCTTCTGTTCTCAGCTCCAGCTGTGAGGCTGAGATCTACGCAGGGGCCATGGCTGCTCAGGAGCTTCGCTGGCTTACCTACCTGCTGACTGACCTAGGAGAGCCGCCTCGTTCTCCTCCAGTTCTGTACGTAGACAACAAGGCCATGCTGGCCTTGTGTCGGGAGCACAGACTGGAGCACAGAACGAAGCATATTGCTCTCCGCTACTTCCTGGCTTGTGAGCTGCAGCAGCGTGGTCAGCTCCGCCTCACCTACGTGGCCTCTGAGGCCAACACTGCTGATATCTTCACCAAGGCCCTTCCACCTTGTGATCATCAGCGCTTCTGTACTTTGCTCGGTCTTGTGCCTACTTGGCCTTACTTGCTCACATCTTGATCTTGTTTGTACTGTAGTCTTCTATACCTGCACTTGCTTGTTTACCTTTATATATATGACCTTGCATGTGAACTGGCCTTGTGGCCTTACTCTTGTGCTCGGACTGTGTGGTGACTTTGTGATCCACCCTGAGCTTGCTTTGCTTTGCTTGACTGGTCTTGTGACCACTTGTTCTCCCCCACTTTGCCTATGGGGGTGTGTCAGAACATTATAGCTTATACTTTTGTGTAGGCTGTAGTGGAGTAGCCCACAACAGGTACAACCCAATTAGGGTTAGTACTTGTACCCAACTCTTTCATAGTTCAACCATTTTCTCTCGTTCTAATCTTCACACTCACCTCTTGACCTTGCTTGTACTGTTACATATATATATATATATATATGTACCCGGTCTTGCTTGTTTAGCGTTATATATATGTAATCATGCATGTGAACTGGCCTTGTGGCCTTGACTTGTGCTCAGAATGTGTGGTGACGTTGTGATCCACCCTGAGCTTGCTTTGCTTTGCTTTGCTTGACTGGTCTTGTGACCCATTGTTCTCCCCCACTTTGCCTATGGGGGTGTGTCAAACTTTTATGATTTGGCCTGTGTAGGTTGTAGCGGGTTTTACACTAAAGGGTACACAATTCTAGGGTTTCACATTTGTATCTCTTTCATTCCCTAGTCATTCATTCTCGTTCTAATCTTCACACAACTGCCGCATAAAAACAGCGCCGAGATTAACGGAAACGATGAAATCTACTCACGCAATTAAATGCGACGATAGCAAAAGCTGTCCGCCAGCCGGGGGGAGAGAGGCCACGGTCCATCTCGAGCGTTGAGGGCAAGGACCCGTCGGTGCAGCAGGAGCGCCAGTAAAAACATGGTCGCTAGGAGCAACTATCCGTTCTCCTGGCCGGCTACTGCGCTGCTTCTGTCACCACGGCATCCTTCCCTGTGCCCCCCCTGAGGGGTAATACACTCTAAAAAACGGGGAACCTAGGAACTTAGGCTCTGATACCAAGTGTTATGAGTTGTACTAAGAAGAGTGCGCGGAAGACTTTATAAAAAGGATGAGAACTACAGAATGACGAGAATGATAAAGAAGCAAGCATTTATAGGGTCGAAACCGTGGTAGGCAAGGACCTCGGGACGTGGATGGGTTGGAAGTGTCGCGATTGGTGCGGGGCGACTCGGAAGTGATTCGGGCTGAAGAGTAGGCCGAACCCCAGCCGACGTGAACAGTTCGGGCTGTCCTCGCTAGGAGTAGCCTCTACAGTAATGAATTCACATTCATTACAAATGCAGTACAGATAACTTATACCGTACACCGCTTCCTATACTCAACATGTATACGTAACCACTACAAAATATGTACTAACCCTGCAGCTGAGAGCGCTGCAGCAAGCTCCTGAGCCACTATCGGCTTGCTCACTGCTCCATCCATCCCCACCTCTAAGCATGCTCTCTTGATCCCTGCATCCAAGTCCGCAGTCAATGCTATGATGCAAAGCCGCTGTTTTGATGCATCATCTACCCTCGTATCGGCTACTTCACATATCTCTGCTGCATTCGTTTCCACTTTCATCTGCTGTGCATTTTCCAAAGCACGCACTCGACGAGCCGTTTCAAATCTGGAAGCATGCAATGTTGGCAACATAAGGCATACGGGGCCAGAGACGGGAAAACAAGTACGCACAGAAATGCATGGAGAAAAAATACATACATATATATATATACACATATACATATATACAAAGCATACGGCGAGACATGCTCAAGACAAGAGAAAATAGGGTTCGGCGAACAGAAAACAATATACCGCATCACTACCACAATGCAGAGAGGTCGCAGCATGAAGGAAAGTTGAAGGAAAGGTAAAAAAGAGGTTAGAGAGAGGTGCAGGAGAGGGGGAACACGGCACAGACCCGTCGATGCCGGGCGGCATGTGGAGGTCGAGGAGCAGCAGGTGGATGGGCGGGGAGGGCGCGGCAGAGGAGAGCGCTTGCAGCGCGTCCTCCCCGGAGGGCAGCAGCAGCACGTGCGCCCCGTAGCCCTGCAGCGTTCTGCGCGCCACCATGCGGTTCACCGCATTGTCATCCACCACCGCCACCCCCCGCCCCGCCACCACCCCCCGCACCACCCGCTCCGCCTCCCCCACGGCCCTCTCCAACTCCACTTCTGGGAACGTGCGTGCCCGCACCAGCGGCGAGGCTGGCTGCGTCGCTGCTGCTTGTTGTGGCGGCGAAGTTGGTTGCGAAGCGGCAGCAGCGTGAGGGAGAGAGTGAGGGAGAGATTGAGGGAGAGCCGCGGTAGTACTGGCTGGCCCCTCCGTGCCTCCCTGCGATTCGCTTTCTTGCTCCACACACTCCTCCTCACCAGCCTGTGCTGACTTGCCAGCTTCCTCACCACTCCCATCTCCCACTCCCGTGCTGCTGGCGTCCTTCTGTTCCCCCATGGGCAGCGCCAGCAGAATGGTGGTGCCTGTGGCGGCGTCTGACAGCACTGCCATGCCCCCCCGCATCTCTGCTACCTGTCATGCCATGCAGGGGAAAAGAAGAAAGGGAAGAGGGAGATGAGAGAAAAGAAGAGGTTGGGCCAGCACTGCCATGCCCCCCCGCATCTCCGCCACCTGCCGTGCCATGCGGAGAGAAGGGAGAGGCAGGGGAGGGAATAAAGGAAGACGATAAGCGTGAATGAAGTCAAGTCAGAAATGATGGAAGGCTGAAGACAACAAGCATGTGAGAAAGCAGAAGAGATTTATGAGTACTGACAATTGACCGGGAGGGCACGAAGCGACCAAGGGTACAAATTCCTTGTAAACATTTGATTACAGACCTACGGATGTGCTAGGGAACTCACAAGGAAGGTAGAGAGCAGGAAGCTCACAAGGGAGGTGGAGAGCAGGAAGCTCACAAGGGAGGTGGAGAGCAGGAAGCTCACAAGGTGTTGTAACTGTATCTTATATACAACATACATAGGCTAGAATGGTGTAGCTCTTTATGTTCTTGGGGGGTTGGGTGTACACTCCAACCACATTTTGTGGTTGGTCAAGGTTGGGTTTGGTCTTGGTCCTTGGTTGGCACTTGCCAACTTTTGGTCCTAAGGCCTACCAATCACAACCTAGCAACATTGTGGGGTTACCTACTCCACAAGGCATCTCCCCCATTGGCCAACTTAGTGGCCAATAGGGTTTGCTCCTTCTTCACCCCTCTCTTGCTTGCATGCTTGTACTATAGAGCCTCAATGGCTCATCATTCAACTACTCTTGAATTCTATCATGGTATTCAGAGCCAAATGGCTCACGCCACCTTCCCTCGATCCTCATGTTGTAATTCCCTCCCCGCTCCCTTACCCTAGCGGACTATGACCTACATCCGCCCACCCGCTCCTCAGATCTAGCCTCCCGCGGCTCAGTTCCGCCTCCCGCACCTCAGATCTAGCGTTCCGCGGCGTAGATCTCCTCCTCCGCGGCCTCAATCCTCCCTCCCGCGGCCTCTATCCTCCCTCCCGCAGCCCCTATCCGCTCCCCCGTGGCAGCAATCCTTCCTCCCGCCGCCACGCCTCCATCTGCCCGCCGACGCGTCCGACCTCCGCGCCGACGCGGACGACCAGCGCGGCGACGCGGACGACCTGCGACCGCCGCGGACGGCCAGCGCGCGACCCCCGACGACCAGCGCGCTGCCGCGGACGGCCAGCGCGGCCTCGCCGACGGCCCGCGCGCTGACGCGGACGGCCAGCGCGGCCCCGCCGACGACCCGCGCGCTGACGCGGACGGCCAGCGCGGCCCCGCCGACGACCCGCGCGCTCACGCGGACGGCCAGCGCGGCCCCGCCGACGACCCGCGCGCTGACGCGGACGGCCAGCGCGGCCCCGCCGACGACCCGCGCGCTGACGCGGACTGCCAGCGCGGCCCCGCCGACGAGCCGCGTGCTGACGCGGACAGCCAGCGCGCGGCCACGAAAGAACCGCGCGCCACCGCGGACGGCCAGCGCGCGGCCGTTGACGCCCCTGCGCCGACGTGGACGGCTGGCGCGCAGCCGCGGCTGATCTGCCCGCCGTCGCGTTCGCCTGCCCGCGATCTCCACGACCTCGAAACCCTAATTCCTCCCCGCACTTCCGCACTAGCCTCTCTTCCCCTCTACCTCCTCCCCCTACTCCACCCCTAACGGCACCAGCAGCAGCAGCAGCGGCATCGGCGGCAGCAGCAGCAGCGGCATCGGCGGCGGCAGCTGCAGCGGCATCGGCGGCGGCAGCTGCAGCGGCATCGGCGGCGGTAGCAGCAGCGGCATCGGCGGCGGCAGCAACAGCGGCATCGGCGGCGGCAGCAGCAGCGGCATCGGCGGCGGCAGCAGCAGCGGCATCGGCGGCGGCAGCAGCAGCGGCATCGGCGGCGGCAGCAGCAGCGGCATCGGCGGCGGCAGCAGCAGCGGCGGCACCAATACCAACAGCAGCAGCGGCGCCTTCACCCCTCCGCCGTCATGGCGTCATCCGACTCCTCGGTCGATCTAGCGACCATTGACGCCCTCGAGCTGCTCGGCGACAACTCGGCCGCCAACTGGCACTCCTATGCTCACTCCGTCGAGGTGTTGCTCTCCTCGGTCATCGTCAGTGGTTATACACTCCGCTCCGTCGTGTTCCAGGAGGAAGGCGGACTCCAGCCCATCGCCCCTTCTGCCCCCACCGGACCTCCTCCTGATGAGCCCGGACCTGAGCCCGAGTCCCCTGGTGATCCTCCCTCCTTTGCACCGGATGTCAACAATCCTCAAAGCGTGGAAACTGCCATCCGTGCCTACCGCAACACACTCAACGACCACCTTCGCCGTCAACTGCGCTATGAGGACGACAAGCGCGCCTACGACGAGGCTGCTGCCCGTCACCGCGACTACCACGCCCAACTCACCACGTACACTACACGCCTCGCTAGCTACACCTCCGACATCGCTGCGTGGCGCATTGCTGACCGTCGAGCTCTCGCCATCCTCCTCGCCACTATCCCCTCCTCCCTCAAGCGAGAACTCTCACCCACCTCCTCCTCCCACCTGTGGCAACTGCTTGTCGACCTCTTTGACCGGCAGGACATCGCCACCCTCTATGCCCTCATCAAGGACTTTGGATCCATCACCATGGATTCCACTGCCGGCGCAGCCGCCTTTACTCGCCGCGTCCTTGACCTTGCTCGCCGCCTTGCAGCACTTGGTGTTACCTACCCTGACACCGTCATCTGCTGCCACCTCCTCGAAGGCCTCACTTCTGCCTTCGATGCCCACAAGCTGGCCTACATGCAACTCCTCTCCAAACATGACACTCCCGCTCAAGTTGCCCAGTGGATTATCACCACCGAGGCAGAAATCCTTCGCCACTCCTCCACTGCCGCGGTAGCACAGCAGCGCAGCGGCAAAGGCGGACGTGGAGGGGGGCGTGGAGGTGGGCGTGGAGGTGGTCGAGGCGGCTCTGGCGGTCGTGGTGGTGCGGGTCGTGGTGCAGCAGCGGCCTTCCCACCCTGTCAGTATCTTCCCCTTTATGGCCCCACCCGAGGCCAACGCTGCAACCAAACCACTCATGCAACTGAGACGTGCTTTAAGGCACTCAGCGATGAGTGGTTCGCTCGTGGGAACTCTGGCACCCCTCCTCGCTGGTCCGCCCTTAATCCCCGCCCCACTCCCCTCGACGTTCGCACCTCTCCCCTCTACGCTCCCTCCTCCTCCTCCTCCCAGGCCCACCAGGCCTTTGCTCTCCCCTCTCAGCAGCAGCAGCAGCAGCAGCATCAGCAGCAGCAGCAGCAGCAGCAGAGTGTTCAGCAGCAGGGACCGCAGCAGTACGGGCAGCAGCTTCAGCAGCTCCAGCAGCAGCTCCAGCAGCAGCTCGACCTCCAGCCCCAGCTTCCTCTCCTCCCTCCTCCTCCTGTCCCCCAGCAGCAACCGTTTCCCGGCTGGACCGCAAGGAATGCAGCCTCTGCGGCCCACCTCTCCGGTCCCTCCCCTGCGCCGTCCACAGGTGGTAGTGTGACCCCCTTTCCCTCCTCTGGCTTTGTTGGTCTGCTTAGTCAGCCTCCCTCTGTTGCATCCCCTATGTATGCCCCTGCTACTAATGAAACTTCCATTCAGTACTCCGCCTCACCCTCCTCCACCCTTGAGTTCATCCTGGATAGTGGAGCCACTGACAATGTCTTTCGCGATGCGGGCAAACTCCATCCTCTCCCCACACCCACGTCCCTCCTCGGCGCTGACAGCAGCTTTTCCATCCCCTGTCACAACACGTCCACCCTTCCCTGTCCTCTCTTTCCCTCAGGTACCGTCACAGGTCTTCACATTCCCTCCCTTCGCACTAACCTCCTTTCCCAAAGGTCCCTCCAACAATCCATGATCACCACTGTCACCCCAGGAGGTGCTAACCATTGTGACCTTTTCCAAACCTCCACAGGTCGCTTCCTCGCCCGCATTCCCTACTGTCACCGCTCCCGTCTATACACCCTTCGGGTTCCTCGCCCCTTCACCTTCCAAGTTGCCTCCCCCCCCCTCCTCCCCCCCCCCTCCTCCCCTCCCTCCCACTAACCCACCCGTCCCCCCCCGCCCCCCTGACTCTGACTGCTCATGTCGCTCCCTCTCCCACCCTGCTATCCTCCTCCATCACAGGCTAGGTCACCCCAACTTCGCCACTCTGCGCTCCTCTGTATCCTCCGGTCTCCTCCACGGTCTCCCCTCCTCCCTCCCTCCCCTCCCAAAGTCCCCTGCCCCCCCTTGCGTCGTCTGTGTTCAGAGCAAGCTCAAGCAGCAGCCGCACCGGAGCTCCCCCTCCGCTGCAGCCCAGCCACTTGATCTTGTTCACATGGATCTCTGGGGCCCTAACCCCTCCCCCACTCGCCAAGGCCATCGCTACCTCCTCGTGCTCGTCGATGATCATAGTCGGTACTCGTTCGTCTCTCTCCTTCGGACGAAGGCGGACGCCCCGACTGCGATCATTGCCTGGCTCGAACAGGCAAACACCCACTTTGGGCGCCCTGTTCGCCGCCTCCACTCTGATGGTGGTGGTGAGTTCCTTAACAACCAGATCTCCTCCTATTGCCAGTCCCGCGGCATTCTTCAGACTTACACCCTCCCTCACTCCCCACAGCAGAACGGTGTTGCTGAGAGCCGTGTTCGGGAGATCACCGAAACGGCTCGGTGTCTCCTTGTCCATGCCTCCTGCCCCCCTTCTCTGTGGGGCTACGCCCTCCTTCATGCCGCCCTCCTTACTAACCTTTACCCTCACCCCCTCCTCCCCTCCACCACCCCCACTGAGCTATGGACAAAGGACAAACCCGATGTCTCCCCTCTTCGGGTCTGGGGCTCAAAGGCATATGTCCTCATTCACCCATCTGACCGATCCCGTTCCCTAGGAAAACTTGCCCCTCGTACCCTTCCCTGCATCTTCCTTGGTCATAACCCCTCTTCCCCCGACTATCTTTTCCTCCACCCCCCTTCCGGTCGACTAATTCGCAGCAGGGATGTCGTCTTTGACGAATCCACCCCATACTATTCCTCTCCTCCGTCCACTGACCCACTCCCACCTCTGACTCGTCCCCTTGTCTGGTCTGACACCACCCCTCCCCCTCTCCTCCCTCCTCCCCCCATCCTCCCACCCCCTCCCCCACCGCCCCCCCAGTCCCACGGTGCCTCTCCCTCGTCTGGTGACATCTTTGACCCGGACCCCCTGTCTTCCCCTGTCTCCCCCGCTCACTCCTCCCCTGGTACCCCTCCTCCCCCTCCCTCCCAACCCTCGCCTCCCTCCCCCCCTCCCCGCACCACACTCACCCGGTATCCCCACACCAGGTCGTGCGACGGTATTCTTGGTGCACCGCCCCCTGTTACCCTCTCTACCTCTACCCTCCCCCCTCTTTCCCCCCTTCTTCACCACTTCTTCCAGGCTGTCCTGCATCAAGCCCCTCATGCACCCGCCCCCTCTACTACCTCTCCAGCAGCGGCAGCGGCAGCAGCTCCAGCAGCAGCCACCGCAGCGGCACCAGCAGCGGCACCAGCAGCGGCAAGTGCAGCGGCACCAGCAGCGGCAAGTGCAACGGCACCAGCAGCGGCGAGTGCAGCGGCAGTGGCGGCCTCGGCAGCGGCACCAGCAGCGGCGGCACCAACAGCGGCATCAGCAGCGGCATCAACAGTGGCACCAGCAGCAACACCTGCGGTCCTCCGCGCCTTCCACACCTCCCTCTCTGAGGACTCCCATGAGGAGTTCCTTGACCTCCACCTCTCTGACCCCTCCCTCCTTCCCATCACCTCTGACCTCTCTGGAACACCAGTCCTCGCCTTTTCCTCCGCACCCTCCACCTTCATCCCAACCACGTATGAGGAGGCCATGGCTTGTCCCGACGCCCCGCTCTGGCTCGCCGCCATCATCAAGGAGCTCGAGGCGTTTATTGCCAACTCCTCCTTCGTTGATGTGCCTCGCCCTCCCCCCTCTACGAACGTGGTCAAGGGAAAGTGGGTGTTTCGGGTCAAGCAGCTGCCAGGAGAACCGCCCGTCTACAAGGCCCGGTATTGCGCCAAGGGCTTCACGCAGCGGTATGGCTTTGACTTCTTCGACACCTTCCCCCCCACCGCCAAACCTGCTACCGTTCGCGCCGTCCTCGACCTCGCCGCTCGCCTCAACATGGAGATCCACTCGATGGATGTCTCCAACGCCTTCCTGCAAGGCGTACTACGTGAACTGATCTACATGGAGCGCCCAGCGGGCTTCCACCTCCCCTTCCCCGCTGACTCTGTCTGGCAGCTGCGCCGCCCGGTGTATGGGCTCCGCCAGGCTCCCAGGGAATGGCATGCCAAGCTTGCTGCCACCCTTGTCGAGCTTGGGTTTCGCACCTCCCGCTCCGACGCCAGCCTCTTCCTCCGCACCTCCCCCTCCCCCTTCTACATCCTCGTCTATGTTGACGATATGATTCTTCTCACTGCCGATCCTGCCGAGCTCGAGACTGTCAAGACGGAGCTGGGCAGCCGTCTCAAATGCAAAGACCTGGGAGAGCTGCAGCACTACCTCGGCATGACCATCACTCGCGACCGCTCCGCCCGCACCATCTCTCTCTCTCTCAGGGCCACTACCTCCAGCAGGTCTTAGAACGGTTTGCAATGGCGCGCGGTAACCCCCAGCCCACTCCCCTTTCGGTCAGGCACCACCTCTCCCCACCCTCCTCTCCCTCTCCCTCCTCCCCTCCTTATCCTGAACTCATCGGCTCTCTCATGTACGCCATGGTCTCTACTCGCCCTGACCTTGCCTACCCCATCAGCGTCCTCGCTCGCTTCGTTGGCGCTGGCAAGCATACGGAGGAGCACTGGCAGGCCGCCAAGCGCGTTCTTCGCTACATTCGTGGCACCAAGGACTATGTCCTTACCCTTGGCGGCCCTTCCCCACCCCTCCTCAACGGCTACAGCGACTCTTCCTGGGCTGACTCTCGACCGGATCGACGGTCCTCTCAGGGTTATGGCTTCTCTCTGGGCAGCGGCCTCATCAGCTGGCGGTCCACACGCTCCTCTGCCGTCGCCCTCTCCTCCTGCGAGGCAGAGCTCTACGCTGCAACCATGGCCGCGCAGGAGGCGCGCTGGCTCACCTTCCTCCTTGATGAGCTCGGAGCCCCCCAACGCTGTCCCACCATCTGGTGTGACAACGCTAGCACCATCCACCTCACCAAGGATGCTGTGTATCATGGGCGCTCCAAACACATTGAGCTCCGCTACTTTTTCATTCGTGAACTCGTTGAGGCCGGCCATCTTCGCCTTGGCAAAATCGACTCGGCGGCCAACCTCGCTGACATCTTCACCAAAGCCCTTCCCCAGGCGTCTCACTCCTTCCTTCTGCGCCTCCTTGGCCTCACCCCTCCTCCGGTTTTGGCGGCCTCCTGATTCCATTTTCTAGCCTTATGCCTGTTGGGGGGTTGTGTTGTAACTGTATCTTATATACAACATACATAGGCTAGAATGGTGTAGCTCTTTATGTTCTTGGGGGGTTGGGTGTACACTCCAACCACATTTTGTGGTTGGTCAAGGTTGGGTTTGGTCTTGGTCCTTGGTTGGCACTTGCCAACTTTTGGTCCTAAGGCCTACCAATCACAACCTAGCAACATTGTGGGGTTACCTACTCCACAAGGCATCTCCCCCATTGGCCAACTTAGTGGCCAATAGGGTTTGCTCCTTCTTCACCCCTCTCTTGCTTGCATGCTTGTACTATAGAGCCTCAATGGCTCATCATTCAACTACTCTTGAATTCTATCACAAGGGAGGTGGAGAACAGGAAGCTCACAAGGGAGGTGGAGAGCAGGAAGCTCACAAGGGAGGTGGAGAACAGGAAGCTCACAAGGGAGGTGGAGAGCAGGAAGCTCACAAGGGAGGTGGAGAGCAGGAAGCTCACAAGGGAGGTGGAGAGCAGGAAGCTCACAAGGGAGGTGGAGAGCAGGAAGCTCACAAGGGAGGTGGAGAGCAGGAAGCTCACAAGGGAGGTGGAGAGCAGGAAGCTCACAAGGGAGGTGGAGAGCAGGAAGCTCACAAGGGAGGTGGAGAGCAGGAAGCTCACAAGGGAGGTGGAGAGCAGGAAGCTCAAGGGAGGTGGAGAGCAGGAAGCTCACAAGGGAGGTGGAGAGCAGGAAGCTCACAAGGGAGGTGGAGAGCAGAAAGCGAACAGGGTAGGGCGTCCAGCGGGGGCCAGCAGCTGCCTTGCGATCGCGCTGCATCGGATCCCACGTGCTGCGCTCCCTCTGCCGCCACGATGACGACTTCACCAGGCCCTTCCATGACTCTGCCCTCCCCAGGCCCTTCCATGACTCTGCCCTCCCCAGCGACCGTATTCTCTCCTGCCAAATCAAAACCAGGAATTTGCAAGCGAATGAATTTTGAGTCGACTCAAAACTCCCTAGGCTCTTCCATGACTCCGCCCTCCCCAGCGACCGAATTCTCTCCTGCCAATCAACAACCGAGGAAAGGAAGGGTTTGCAGACCAAATGCGAGCGGCAGTTTGCCCGTGAGAGCTATGATGGCATTCCATGAGTCTGCCCTCCCCTCCCCAGTGACCGTATCCTCTCCTGTGTCAATTCGTCGTTGCCCTCTCAGCTCGCACAGTCCTAGAATGTGATCCCTCCTGAACCAGTAACGAGTCCGCACTCCTTGTAACGAGCCCGCACTCCTTGTAACGAGTCCGCACTCCTTGTAACGAGTCCGCACTCCTTGTAACGAGTCCGCACTCCTTGTAACGAGTCCGCACTCCTTGTAACGAGTACGCACTCCTTGTAACGAGTACGCACTCCTTGTAACGAGTCCGCACTCCTTGTAACGAGTCTGCACTCCTTGTAACGAGTCCGCACTCCTTGTAACGAGTCCGCACTCCTTGTACTGAGTCCGCACTCCTTGTACTGAGTCCGCACTCCTTGTACTGAGTCCGCACTCCTTGTAACGAGTCCGCACTCCTTGTAACGAAAACACTCCTTGTACTGAGTCCGCACTCCTTGTACTGAGTCCACACTCCTTGTACTGAGTCCGCACTCCTTGTACTGAGTCCGCACTCCTTGTACTGAGTCCGCACTCCTTGTACTGAGTCCGCACTCCTTGTAACGAGTCCGCACTCCTTGTACTGAGTCCGCACTCCTTGTACTGAGTCCGCACTCCTTGTACTGAGTCCGCACCTTGAAACAACATCGTCAGTACAGTTAGACGACCAGTCTTTGTCATGTTGTCGTTCGTACCCCACCCTTTCAAATACCAAGCAACCAATACTTGACCGCAACGTTAACCACCTTGAAAACCAAGGTGCTTGCGCAATCGGTAAGAGCCAATGCCAGTATGTGAAAGTGAAACTAGAGTGGCTTCAGGTGATGCAGGCCGAGAATATCTAAGTGTTTGGTGATTCGGATTCGCATGCCCGTGAGTGTAAGACAGTTGGAGCGGACCGGAGTGGACTGGTGCATGGCGGTGAATAGAGGGACAAAAGACTGCCTAATCGCATTACATATTTCACATCCCGTACTCAGATTGCTAACAACACAACCATTTGGCTTGCGCAACAGCGCGAGCTGAAGCGAAAAACCACACTCACCATGACTTTATGTTGCCCGCCGCCATGCATGCCATGTGGGTCCAGCAACCCCCACAGCTCCTCAGGTGGTATACCACTGCCCGTGTCTTCACATGCCACCACCACCATCCACTCGCCCTCCTCCCTCACAGCACACGCCCCCTCCACCCACTCCCTCACCTCCTCCTCCAACTGCCCACCCCCCCCTTGCCTGTCATCTGCACTGCCTACACTGTCTCTGCTGTGCACCTGCCCACACGGCTGCCCATCCTTGTTGCCCACAGGCCCCCCTTGGCTGGCCGGGCAGTGCTGGGGGAGGCAGAGCAGGCGAGTGTGAGGAGGGAAGCGCTGCACACAGCCGGCCAGCTGATGCCACGCTGAGGCTGGTGGGGGCGGCTGAGAGGAGGCTTGTGTGGCGCCTGGGACAGCAGCAGGTGGAGGTGGCGTGCTGGCGACGTGTGGAGGGGGAATGCACGAAACACGGATGGTTATGTGGCCTGTTGCCGTGTTGTTCATGGCACTTGCTGCAGGAGGGAGGGGTGACGTGGGGGGTTGGTGGGGTCGGGAAGGGGCGTGAGAAGGGGGGAGACACAGAAGGGGAAAATCTGGAACGCGTGGAAGAATTTGCAGCTGCTATCAGCAGGCTTTTATGGCATCACTTCCTTCTTTTAGATGTTTTCACCTAAACTACCATGAGAATGCCCTAAAATGCAGGTGAGGGTAGGGAAATAGGCGGAATACTGTAAGAGAGAGGTAACTCTCAGTTCTTTTTTAACCTGTAAAGGCACCCGCGCATCGAACCGAATTGGACCAGTCTAACCAATCTAAGTGTAACCCGAACCGGTTTGACTCAAACAACGGGATAAAAAGAAGAGAGCTTTGGTCTGGAGGAACAAAACAAAAATCTAGGCATTGTGTGTTCAACGGTTACTTATGACCCAAAAAGGATGCACCAAACAACTCAGCATGTAGAAAAGATCGATAGAAAATTGAAGCAGCCCTTACGTTTCGTGCAGCAAACAACTCACCGACAAGTTCAGCCATGACTTGCAAGATTCGAGTTGGATCGCCGAGTAGCGTTTCTGGAACGCCGTCATCCACATGGACAGTCACTGTATTCAACAAAAACAACGAACGAACAAACGAACAAACACACAGTCAAGAATAAAACCACGATGGACGCAACGTCTTGAAAGGCAAGGAGAAGGGCGTCTAAGATGCACACATGTACCTGGTAAGTTCTTCCCTGGCGCAAATGTAGTCGCCTCACGAAAGATGCGGCGCAGGCAGCAGGGGAGAGTCTCGAGCTGCAGCCTGCCGGCCTGCAGCTTGGCGAGGTCCAACACTCGGTTGATGAGCTCCACCGTCTCGCCCGCACACGCCCTTGCATCTACCAGGTCGGCCCGCTGCCACTCCTCCAATGGCGACTCCAACAATTCCTCTATCATGCCTGTGGGGGAGAAAGAGTATTCATTCCAAAAGGGGCAATAGCAGGAAACGAATTTTTCCTTTAAAAACATCTGCAAAATTAGATTCTAAGCGACTGGTCCAATGCAAGCATGTAGTCTCTAAACTAGGCATGAGCAAATGAAGAACTCGAACATGTTTGCCTGAACATGTTCGAACAAGTCAGTAACCCGCAAACAGATGTGGACAAATGGAGAATTCAAACATGTTCTTAGTGAAAGGCGTTTTTTTTTTTTTTTTTTTTGGTTTAGGGTTTCGGGTTTAGGGTTTTAGGATGTTTGATGTTTGGCCTCAATGTAACAGCTACTGGGGTATGGCGGAATAGGCTTAGTTGCTGTGTGTGCTCGTCAAAGTCTTGTAGAAATTGCTTTGCCGGCCTTGAGCGAGATTCGTATAAAACCTAACACCAATGAGTTCGCCGCAAGCAGTTAAACATGTCGAAAATGTTCGGTTCACCCACCATTCCATGCCCTCACCCACCATTCCACACCCTCACCCACCATTCCATGCCCTCACCCACCATTCCATGCCCTCACCCACCATTCCACACCCTCACCCACCATTCCATGCCCTCACTCACCATTCCATGCCATCACCCACCATTCCATGCCATCACCCACCATTCTATGCCCTCACCCACCATTCCATGCCATCACCCACCATTCCATGCCATCACCCACCATTCCACGCCCTCACCCACCATTCCACGCCCTCACCCACCATACCATGCCCTCACCCACCAATCCATGCCCTCACCCACCAATCCACGCCCTCACCCACCATTCCACGCCCTCACCCACCAATCCATGCCCTCACCCAGCATACCAAGCTCTCACACTCACCCATCATGCCAATGATTGGGGTGCGCAGCTCATGCGACGTGCTGGCCACCGCCTCACTCTTGGACCGCTCAGCTCTCTCCAAGATGGCCGTGCACAGCTGAATCTCCTTCACATCCTCCTCTATATTTCGTCTTTTCCAAGCCAACACCGCAATCATGGTGGACAGCAGCACTGCCACCAGCAGCACCAGTAGGCCCAGCAGCATGGGAGCATACACGAGGTCCCAAGTAGGTGGGGGAACCTGGAACCTACACATGTGAAAAGCAGAACGGCCTGGCACCTGTCAGTATATTCCACAAAATGGCATTATCCATCCATTGCCAAAAGAGGACCTTTGGGCAAGTTGAGCGAGGTCAGATCTAGGCAATCAAACGGGCAAAAACGTACAGAGAATCACCAATAACTCGTTCATAGGACCATTCTTTATTTGTTGCATGGGACTCCCTTTTTACAACATCTTAGACGAACAAATATAACTTGGCGAGAGGATGCTAAATCCTCTCAGAGGTGCGAGTTCCAGTGAGATGAGAGTTCCAGTGAGATGCAAGATGATCACCAAGTTTTCCTGTAACGAACGACGCATACTCAATCTCAACCGAGTAAGTTCCAGTCCAATATATCGTTGCGTTCATATTCTGGCTGTCTGGCTCTTCATGAGCTGTCCATTAGCCAACAAGCCACTGCTCATGTCAAACACAACATCTCGTATGTTCCAAATTGGGTGCATTCCGAAGTTGGATGTGCCACTCAGGCAACCAAAATTTCAAGTGTTTTGGCACTAGCATTTCGGTGCTTGACGATTGATCTTTGCTGATCCCTACTCGTGCTTGCAACCCGCAATGCGTACATACCCGCTGTGTGCTTCGAATGTGCGTCCCATCATGTCCTCAGGGAATGGCTCCACATGCTCGGGTGGCACAACAGGCACGGGCAGCACATAGGGGAAGACACAGCCCACTCATGCCACGGCCCACGCCTAGTACGTACCAGCAGTGGGCTTCAAATGTGCGCCCCATCATGTTCTCAGGAAAAGGCTCCACATGCTCCGCTGGTGCAATCGAACCGGCAGGTGTGGGCAGCACAAAGGGGAAGGCAGAACCGCTTTCCAGTCGTGGCTCTTCCGGGCCGTATATCTGCTTCAAACCGCCTGGCTCTGTGTTGTCGTACATGGCAAATGAGTATGTGCTGCTCCCTGCCAAGAGGAGAGGGGAGGAAGGTGTCAGAACTTGAGCTTAGAATCGATACTATAGTAGTGAGCTCAAAGCTCTTTAAGTACATCCGGAATGAGCAAGGTAGGGATGAGGAGGGAATCAGGAGGCAATCCTAGGGAATCAAGGGTAATCCCAAGGCAATCTCCAATTGGTGGGTTGGAGATTGCTTGGAGATTACATTTGGGTTTGGTTGGGATGTGGGTGTACACCCAACCAAACACAAAGTGCAAACTACACTAAACTAGGATATAAAAGTACAAGTACAAAATGTGAGATTGGGGCCTAACACCAACACCCCCCCTGAGGCGTCAATCGAACTCATGGCGGAGAAGGAGGAGCGCAGAGCCCCATGGCGCCAAGGAGACGATGGTGGGGAACCTTCCCAAGGGGCTTGGTGAACAGGTCAGCCAGGTTGCAGTCAGATGCCACGTATTCCACCTTCAGCTGCTCTTGTTGCACAAGGTGACGAATGAAGAAGTGCCGAAGTTCAATATGCTTGGTGCGGGTGTGATACACAGGGTCTTGAGAGATGTGGATGGTACTCTGGTTGTCACACCAGAGGGTGGGGGCTGACTGAGGGAAGCCAAGCTCCTGGAGTAGGAAGGTGAGCCAACGGGCCTCCTGAGCAGCCATGGTGCCTGCGTAGAGCTCCGCCTCACAGGAGGAGAGGGAGACTGCAGACGACCTGGTGGAGCGCCAACTGACAGTTCCGCTCCCGAGGGTGAAGCAGTACCCCTGAGAGGAGCGTCGGTCGGTCTGGTCATCAGCCCAGGAGGAGTCTGTGTAACCTTCCAGGCGAGGAGGGGAGAGCCCACCGAGTGTGAGAACGTGGGACTTTGTGCCCTTAAGATAGCGCAGCACCCGCTTTGCTGCCTTCCAATGAAGATTAGTGAAGCGACCCGGGGCCACGTAACGAGAGAGAACACTGACTGGGTAGGCCAAGTCCGGTCGGGTGCACATCATGGCGTACATGAGGGACCCAACAAGTTCCGGGTATGGCTCAGAGCAGGCCTCTGGTGTGGGTACAGCAGGAGCTGTAAGGAGGTGTTGCAGCGGCAGCGGGGTGGCAACAGGTGTGCACAGCTCCATCTCAAACCGCTTGAGCACATTGTCGATGTAGAACTCCTGGGAGAGTGAGATGGTGCGAGCCTTGCGATCACGAGTGATCTCCATTCCCAGGTAGTGCTTGAGGTCACCAAGGTCTTTCATCTGGAGGGCCTTGCTCAGGGCTGCCTGGACTGAGGTCATTTGGGCCGAGTCCTTGGCAACGAGGATAAAATCATCCACGTAGACTAGGATGTAGAATGGCTCAGAATGACGACGGATGAAGAGAGTCGGGTCAGCAGTTGAGGGGTGGAAGTCCAGGGAGAGGAGGACTTCTTTCACCTTGTTGTGCCATTCGCGAGGGGCTTGTTTAAGGCCGTAGACGGGGCGATTCAGCTTCCAGACAGTGTTGGGAGGGAATTCTCCTGGGAAGCCTTCTGGTCTGTCCATGAACACTGTCTCCTTGAGACGTCCTTGTAGGAAAGCGGAGGAGGCATCCATGGATTTGATCTCAAAGTCCTCTCGAGCTGCAACATCCATGAGCGTTCGAATGGTGGGAGGTTTGGATGTGGGGGAGAAGATTAGGTCGAAGTCGCGGTACCGCTGCTGGGTGAAGCCCTTGGCTACGTAACGCGCTTTGAACACCGGTGCCTCGTCTGGGAGCTGTTTTACACGGAACAACCACTTGCCCCCGACGATGTTGACTCCTGGAGGTGGAGTCTCGTCATCGAAAGAGTGGTTGCGAGTGAATGCTGCAATCTCCGCGTCCATGGCAGCACGCCATTCGGCAGCATGAGGGCCTGAGAGAGCCTCTTGGACGGTGAGAGGGATAGGGATGGTCGGGTTCTCTGCGAGGTTGAGGGAGGGTGAGCCAGTGATATCGGGGAAGATGTGTGAGAGCTGAGGAATGACTGCATGGAGATCACACAGCTCCTCATGCCTGTCTTCTAGAAGGGTAGAGGGCACATCCCCCCCAGCAGGAGGAGGCGATGTGATCATTGTGTATCGAAGAACCATTGCGAGTGGAAGAGCAGCGCGATGGGAGCGGGTGCCATGAGCCACCGGTGAGGAGGGCGGGGCAGGCGGTGTCGGAGAGGGTGACTTAGGAGGCTTGGGTGGGGGAATGGGCCGCCGGCGGTACGTGATCAGCTCGGGCGACTGTGGGAGAGCGGGTTCCTCTGTGGTGGGGGGAACTGGGGGAGGAGGTGGGGCCGGAGGGTGGGACCGCCGATGGTAGGTGATAGGTGCGCTCGGAGGGGGCGGCGCAGCGGGAAGTGAGGAAGGTGAGGGGGGGGGCGGAGCAGCCGCCGAAGACACCGGTGAGGCCGGGTCAGAGACCTCAGAGGGAGATGGTGGGATGGCAGGAGAGGGAGGAGGTGAGGGGGCAGGAGCAGGCGGGAGGTCGGGAGGCGCGTCAAAGTCTGCCCACACGAGGGAGGGTGGATCAGGGAGAGGGTCCCGTCCCGAAGGGGAGTAGAATGGGCGGGTCTCATCAAAGACAACGTCGCGGCTCCTGACCAACTGTTGAGTGGAGGGATTGAGGAAGAGGTAGTCAGGTGAGTCGGCGTTGTGCCCAAGGTAGATGCACGTTTGAGTCTTGGGACCGAGCTTGCCACCGTTCTGGCGTCGAGCCTGAGGGTTGAGGAGGACATAGGCGGTGCATCCCCAAACGCGAAGAGAGCGAGCAGTGGGCGTTTTCCCGAGCCAGAGTGTGGTTGGAGTGGTGTCGGGAAGGTGCGGATGGGGGTAAAGGTTGTAGAGGAGGGCGGCGTGGTAGAGAGCGTATCCCCAGAGAGAGTGTGGAGCGTTGGAGTGGCTGAGGAGGCACCGAGTGATCTGCACTAGAGTGTGGTTGCGGCTCTCAGCTATGCCGTTCTGTTGAGGGCTGTCAGGGAGGGTGAAGTTTTACTGGATGCCTTCGGAGGAGCAGAAGGCTTTAAGCTTGTCGTTGCAAAATTCACCCCCCCCATCCGAGTGAAGGCGCTTGACCTTGCGGTCAAAGGTGGTCTGTGCCTGCTTGACCCACGCCATGATGACCTCTGGAGCCTCAGCCTTAGTGTGGAGGAGGTGAACAGAGACGTATCGTGAGTGGTCATCCACGATAACTAGGAAGTAGCGATATCCACCTCGTGCAAGAACAGGGGCAGGGCCCCAGACGTCCATGTGCACTAGGTCCAGTGGTGCCGCTGCGATTGTGGGTGAGGCAGTGTGGGGCTGTTGGCGCAGTTTGCTCTTGGTGCAATCAAGGCACGTGGGAGCGGGTGAGTCAGGTGGTGGAGGAAGTGTGGCTGGCAGGCCGAGAAGAAGTTTCTTGGAGGCCATGTCAGCAAGCGTGCGGAAGTTTGGGTGCCCTAACCGATGATGATAGAGGATGGTCGGGTTGGAGAGGCTGCGACATGTGCATGGTGTGATGGGAGCCTGTGCTTGGGTGGTTGAAACCTGTGGGAGAGGAACGCGTAGCGTGTAGAGGCCGCTGCTATTGAGGGTGAAGCGGGCCAAGACCTTGTTGGTGAGTGGGTCAATGATGTCGCAGTGGTCCTCATTCTCCGAGAAGATGGTGCGTAGCCCTGCTTTCTGAATTTCTGTTTGAGCCACTAGATTGTGGCGTAGTGAAGGCACGCACATGCCAGTGACGGTGCCGGAAGGGAAGGCTGGGCATGGGACTGTGGAGGTGCCCTTGGCTAGGGTGGTGAAGCTGGAGTCAGCTCTCAAGAGAGGGATAGGTGCTGGTTAGGGTTTGAAGGAGAGTGTCTCCTTGAGCACAGTGTGAGTGGCCCCACTGTCGAGTGTGAACTCTATGTACTGTGGTGCCTGTGATGAGTCGATGTACTGGGAAGTGGCTTCATTAATCATGGCAGTGCCAGGAAACAACAGGTTGATACGCACATCAACAGGAGCACTGTCACTAGCACTAGCCGAAGAGGGGTCCTGGACCTCAACGAGATTGGCCTTACGAGCGCGCATCCAGTTTGGCGGCTTCTTGTCAACCCCGTGGATGGCA